ATTCACTCACCTCAGCCTCCCAAGGCGCGGGATTATAGGCTGAGCCACTGAGCCCGGCTTGTCAGGCTTTTAGATTCTTTTAATTTTTGAGTTGTAAGAGCTTTTTATTTTTTCTAAATACAAGTTGCTTTGTCAGATATAAGTATTATATATATTTTCTCTCACTCTGTGGCTTGCCTTTTTATGCTTTTTAAAAAATTTTTTTATTAGTTGGAAATCTCACTGCTTCTCAGACTCACTATGGCCTCGACCTGTTGGGCTCAGGTAATTTTTCCGCCTCAGCCTCCTGAGTAGCTAGGACTACAGGCTTGTGCCACCATGCCTGGGTACTTTTTTGGTTTTTTTTTTTGTGGTGTATTGCCCGGGCTGGTTTCAAACTCCTGGGCCTAAGCAATCTTCTGCCTTGGCCTCCCAAAGTGCTAGGATTGCATGTGTGGGACACCACAGATGGCCTTTTTTGTGTTCTTAATCTTTAAAGGAGTAAAAGTTTTTAGTTTCGATGAAATCTAGTTCATCAGTTTTATATTTTTGTTTCATGTACTTTTGAGTCCTATCCAAGAAACTAAACTATCCTAAATCTGAATATATTCTCCTATGTGTCTTCTAGAAATTTATAGTTTTATCTTAGGACTCTGACTCATTTTACATTAGTTTTAGTGTTTGATGTAAGGAAGGGTCAATGTTCGTTTTTCCAATGGTGGCATCCAGTTGTTCTAGTAGTATTTGTTGAAAATATTTTTTTCCCTTTGAGTTGTTTTGCCAGCGTTGTTGAAAACAAATTTATGATATATGTGGGTCTATTTCTGGTTTCTTTATGTTTTCCATTGATCACTCTATATATCCTTTAATCATTACCATACTATCCTGATTACAGTGTCTTGAAGTCAGCTAATATAAGCCTTCCAAATTTGTTCTTTTCTAAAATTACTTGGGACATTTTATATTTTTGCGTTTCTACATAAATTTTAGAATCACCTTGTCAAGTTCTGTACAAACACATGCTGGAATGTTGGCTGGGCCTGTGTTAGATCTATAGATATATTTGGAGGGATTGATAACTATTTGTCTTCTGATTTATAAAGATAGCATATTTCTCCATTTCTGCTGTCTTTATTTTCTTTTTTCATTGATACATAATATTTGTATATGTTTATGGGGTACATGTGATATTTTGTTACATGCATAGAATGTGTAGTAAGTCAGGTTATTTACACTATTTGTTACCTTGAGCATTTATCATTTTTATCTGGTGAGAACATTTTAAGTTCTCTCTTCTGGCTATTTCGAAATATACAATACATTGTTGTTATCTATAGTCACCCTACTCTGCTATCAGATATTAGAACTTACTTGTATGTACCTGTATGTTTGTACTCATTAATCAACCTCTTGTCATATACCTACCCCCTCCCAGCCTCTGATAACTATCATTCTGTTATGAGATCAACTTCTTCCTTCCTTCCTTCCTTCCTTCCTTCCTTCCTTCCTTCCTTCCTTCCTTCCTTCCTTCCTTCCTTCCTTC